TAATGCCCCGCACACAAAGGGAGAGAGAGAGAGAGGAAGTGGAGAGAGGAGAGTCTGAGCTTAATGACCTTGCAAGCCGATTACAGGCCGAACCACGTTCCACAAACAGCACTGTGAGGCCTTGGACTCGGCCTGCGCAGTCAAATCAGCTACATTCAAACAGGAAAGGGAACTCATGAATCCAGATGCAGTGACTGGTTCAGGATGGCAGCAGTGATTCATGATGGCACTAATGGTAATGATGAACCTCTGCACTTCTTAGTGCCTGTTAGAAAATGCTGATTTCAATACTGGTTTGTGAAAGTGCAGAGTTGCAGCTGCCACTAGAGGGCGGCATAGGCATTCTGTAATTACACAACCATCCTGGCTAGAGAAAGTGTGTCACTTGGCCAGTGCTCCCTGGTGGGCTAATAGAGTGTTGACCTGACCTAAAGACAGAAAGAGAGATCCACAGAGGGGGATTAAGAGGCAGCTTGATGCCTCTGATCGGAGGATTAACAAACTAGGTTCCAAAAGGTTCCCCTCTAGTATCTTTGAGTCTCCAAATCTCACTGTTGTTTTTATCACGCCTGCCACCTATGACTAATCACAATGCAGGAGGCCACACATCGACTCCAGTCAGGCTTAGTGTGGAATATCAGCTTACATTGCAGTTGTAGCTGTTGTGCAATTCCCCAGTTTTTCCTCTACTTGAACACGGTGAGGCCTCTGTAAAGATTGATGTTTTTGTGTGGAGTTTTGTGTGGGAGTCAGAAATCGGCCCTTGTGTAACCACTAACACACTTGCGCTGTTTGTGAAGCAGCGACATACGTTATATGTGGTCGATCCTGTTGTGTCAGAAACACACCGCTCGGACCACTCGCTTGAGATTTTGCAAATGAGCACACGTCTGGCAGCACAAGGTTATTGCAATACAATGCTACCCTCAGCTGTGTGCTGCTGAAGCCCTTGTGTCGACGCACTTCATGTCACGTTTTCATTTGAAGCTTGAGATGGCTTCATCAAAGTGTTTTTCTCAACCAATAAGCAGGTGAAAACCTCTTGATTTTTGTCTTTTCAAAAGGGAATTCTAAGAAGACGGCGCTTTTAGTTTCACATGCATGGCCCCTCCTGTCCTAGTTAGACAGGAAGTGTAGTCATTGTTCTAATATTTGAGAGGCTATCTGACCACCTACAACACCCTAAAAAAACATTTCCTATCCATCTCACCCATGCTATGTCAATTATAGTCTTGTTTGTTATATGTTTGTATCTTTAACACTTTTGAGTCGATATTGATATTCTTATACTTTTCTATATAACATATGCATATTGTAAGTTTTGTCATATTGTAAATATTTTCATTTTTAGTGCTGTGTTTACATCCATCATTTTGTCACACACACGTTTTGAGGAACTTTATTTTAAGGAACTAAAACCAGTCTTAACCAGCTTTAAGCTTGACTACAACACATTGTAGTAGCACACAATTGCTCTGATTTTGAAATGTTTGCAACCAAAGCAGAGCATGTAACAATTAGAATTTTTAAACATATAAATATGCTCTTCCTTACCATATGCTTATTACTTACGATTTCACATGCAGTCACACAATACACGCACACCAGCCATGCACAGGTAAATAAATTTATTCAGTTGTTAGAGAAACAAATCACTATACAGGGATTTCGTCGTTGTTGCCGCCGTTGGGCCCCGCCCCAGGGTGCGGTCGCCCTGCTCACTTCTTGGGACAGCGGTCGTGGCAGGCGCAGGTGAGAGCAGCGACCATCACCACGAATTCGCTGAAGTCGACCTCTGAGTCTCCGTTAAAATCCAGACCCTTCAGCAGCTTGTCCACCTCACCTGGGTTCTTCGCTGCCTGCACAGAACCAACAAAAGAACACTGATACTGTTACAATACTACATTATACTACTGTATGCAATGTCAATAACTTAATGTTGGGGCATTACACAAGGACGGGAGAGACTCTTTAAACTTTAAGCAAAAGTAAAAAGAATGCAACATACAACGGCAAAAATATCGTTATTTTTAAAGTTGTGGAGACTGCTTGCAAAAATCCGTTTTTGTTAGAATGTTTATGAACAGTAAAGACCCAAAACTGGTAACTACAGACATTTCAAGCCATGGAGGTAAAAAATAAGTTTCACGTGAAACAAAACTTAAAATTAAAATGCCTGTTTTTGCATCAGTGATCCAGCACAGTTATCCGGGGCTCCCCAGCGGCGGGTACGGTACCTTGAGCAGTCCAGGCAGCTCCTTCTCCAGCAGCGTCTTGGTCTCGGCTTTGCTTAGGGTGTTCTTGCTGCCCTCGCTGGCAGCATACGTATCAAAGGTCTTCATCAGGATGGCCATGGCTGTCTCTAGCTGGGTCATGGTTGCTGCTTAAGAGGTGGTTACTACGGTAAAGAGGAAAATGATCAGCGGTTGACAGAGCCGTCGATGTGTCGGGAGTGGAGGAGGAGAGAGACAACTGTTTTTATACCTGAGGCAAAATGGGTTAAAGAAAGGGTGTGTTTGATATAGGTGGTGGCTCCGACTGTGTCAACACAATCTCAATGCTACAACGCCCAATGTACATATTGCCTCATAGACCAGGAGCTTTAGTCCTTTACTTATTGGTTTAATGGGAGTATATTTCATGAACTAAACCACAAAGGCAATACATTCTGTGATTTGTTTAATCTGGCACAAAGTAAATCTCAATGAATGTGCTGTGCGAGCTTTGGGCTTTCAGGTGATACACACACATATACAGTACACATCTAAACCCAGTGTCACATCTGTGCATCTGCTATGGTTGGTGGTTTCCTATGCTGCAGCATAAAGGTGGACATGAACCACCAGAGGAAATTTTGAACAACAAATATACACCAGTGTGCATGCTTGCTCAGATGTGTCTGTTTCTTCTGGTCCCCTGGCCTGGTTTCCTGGAAACAACATCAGTTTATGTAAGATATTCTGTGTAAAAGCATTTCTCTGGTCATACAACCAGCAACTCAGTCAGAGCCCTGCTCTGGCTGCTACAGCTTACATCACACACACAACGAGAAAGAAGTATTACAAAAAAGGCCCCACATTATGCTGCTGCAATATTTTATTGCAGGATGCGTTTAAAGTACCCCTCCACTAAAACATATCTTGGTTAAATAATATGTAATGTTTAATATTAGCCTATATAGACAATGGGCTTGAACACTGTTTTAGGCTTTCGAGGAGCCGATGGGAATCAAAGCAAATGCAATATCTGCAAGCAAATGAAACTGTGTGAAAGTATGCTAAAGGTTTATTCACACAGTGTGGTGGTTAACACCTTTTGCCGGTTCACATCAGTGGCTGGTATGCAGGTAAGGGGTAGGATACTGTAAGTTTTGTTTGTACCCATGAGTGAAGGAGTGTCTCTCTCTCTCAGCCAACAACAAAAGTCACTTTTGTTGTCACTCAACAGTCTGAAACTGGCTGAGTCACTGGGTCAAAGTGTCTCTGTATACAACTCTGTATAGGCAATCAGTAGGCTCTCATCCAGTATTTATGTACCTGTTAGTCACTATTTTCACATTTGTCATAGCCACAGATAAATTATGTTCAAGACATGTGACACCAAAATCAGGTTATAGTACCACACAGTGTATACACAGTGTAGGGTTATTCTAAGGTAACGAAAGCACAACAATTCCCATATTCGAGGGTTTTATACACTAATGAAAACATACCTTAGAATATTATATATTCCTTTTCTGCCAATAGATCCTCCTAAATGATTAATGTGTATTGAGTGCTCGGTCATAATTTATATTTTTTATAATTACTTAGTAACCCAAAGTAATATATATAATAACCAGAGTAACCCAAGATACTCACCATTACTGAGTAAAACAAAACAAAAATTGACACTTTATTTATTATTTCTTTAGTAAAACAAAGCCTGTTTCAAAATGAAATCTGTTTTTATTTGTATGCAGTATCAAAATGTCCAAAATGAACTGCTGCTGGCCAGCAACATGACCTAAGACATAACTACTGGCTAATGTTGGAGTGATTTCCTTGCTATGCCAAGACTTGCACATAAAATGTGACGCTATTAGAGAAAGGAGAAGAAAAAGAGGGTGCTGGCATGGGCTTTAGACCAAAATAATAATGTAACACTAAACTTTTTTCAGTCAGCTCAGAAAGAAGAGACTAAGAGGAGATGACGAGGCTACCACCAACTATGCCTGTGTACCTAGCAGAATTGAGAATTGAGTAGAATTATTTAACGTATAGCTATACTGCCTTTTTTGTTTCTACACATGTAAACGACATGTCCCACGTGGTATAATCCTGATCAACTTCAAATGGTGGAGTGGCAAGGAACATTACCATAGCTCAGCTCTCCTACATATTTTCATTATTTGTACAATGAGTATGTGTGCATTTTCTAAGCATGTTCATAAGGCTAGTATTGGTAACTCATTCATTTGAGTCTAATTCTGCTTCCAATAAAGCTAACAGGGGTTTACCAACGTGGACTCTGGAAACTTTAGAAAATGAACACATAACCTAAAATGCAGACAGAGCACATGCATTGAGAGATGAGTAATGTGAAGATAAGGATAGTAAAATATGGTATCAAGCAAATTGTATTAACAGTAAGAGTAGCTTACTCTGTATTTACCATTTTAGATGTTTGTTTCAGATTCATGTGGCTTGTGTAATGAAGATGTACACAACAAGGCCAGCAACAAACTACCTCAACCGTCACAGGCACTGTTTCCATTTCCTGTCATTGACCTATTATGCAGCAACCCTGTAACACCACAGTTTCCAGCCAGTGTCCTTATCATGACTTGAAGTCATTGCGAAACCTGCATATTTGCTGTATGATCAATGGCACTCATTGATGTAGACCACTGACTAGCTGGTAGCATGATCAAGTCAAAACAAAAGCATGTAATTCAAATAAACCTGTTGATAAATGCACACACACCATATCATCATTGAAATGAATTAAGACCACAAAGATGGATGAGACTTAGTTTATAGAAAAAATACAAAATATTTACACTCATATAAAATCATTTACATAATTCAGGCAAAGGTATAATGAACGCACAAGATACACATGCTGCGAAGTAGGGAAAGAAAATCCTGGACGATGAGGATCTTCACTCTTTGGTCTGCACACGTTCAAAGTAATCGAAGGATTCATACACTGGTACCTGACACTGAAAGAGACAGAGAGATAAAAACAATTACACGTTATGCTGTATAGGCACAGTAGAGCAGTACATCAAAAAGTGTCAAATAAGGGTAACATTAGAAAGGCTGCTTTTGTGGTGTACAAAGGTCGATAGAAGACATTTGATAATGTGTGTGACATAAATTGAGTAGGCGTGACTAACAGGCACTATTAGTCACAAACAGGATGTCAGTTATATTTCATAATAATGTCTCAAATTTGGAATTTACTGCTTTAAGTACAGAGTTAAACCAGCTGACATAATTCAAACTGAAAATATACTTCTGCACTGTGGTCCAGTACGACAAGCTGCGTATTAAATCATATCCTGATTAAACATTTTAATTGTTTCTGACAATCTATCAAGCATGTAGATTGCGGTGTTTTTTTACAGGATTGTATTGCACCTCCATGTATGTCAACGAGGTGGAAAGAAATATACATACAATAAAATTCAGTCTAATACAACAATTCTACAAAGTACAATCTCATAAAGTACTATAGTAGTGAGCAGGGCAGGAATATCACGGTGGCCATGACGGCCAACGTTGAGTTATCACATTGGTGACTGTTTCTTTAAAGAGTAGGTCTATGAATGCATGTTCACACAATTCACCACATGTTACCCAGACTGTCTCACCCTACAACTCCCACACATTATATATCATAGAAAGCAAGTCTGGGAAGAGTTTAGAAAATTTGAGCAGGTTGTTTAAAGACTATCTAAGACAGAATTTAGGATAGGATGTAATGACGACTAAAAAGGCAATGAACGCACATCAGGTCACAAAGTGTGGCTAAGAATGTATGTATATAAGTAATTTATTTTCCCCCGTAAGCTCTATTCGATTCCTTATTCACCACACTCAACAAAAAGGAACAAATACCTTGCCAGTCTAATAACGCCACATATTTTTTTGAAAATGCTGACTTTTTTTGTTTGCTAGTGTCGCTCTATGGACAACATTTGTACACAAGTGTCTTTGTAGATTTGATACCAATAGACTCACCCACTGAGAAGAGCCTCTGGAGGAAGTGGTACTGTGTTTGTCCATTTCTCCCACCTCAGAATCAGTATGGGGAACTTCGTAGATTACCCTGGCTGCTTGTGCTGTGGGCCAGACACACATACATAGCCAAATGATTAATAGAATTGCATTGTTGCACCAAATGCTACTACACTTGACTGTGTATTGCAGTCACTACAGTTTGTCTCTACCACTGTTTACTTCTGTTACAAGTATTATTACTGCTATTACTGAACCTACAAGGCTAATACCACTAATATGCCATGGGGGCCTGGAGCCTACAGAAGGTCTCATTCATGGCTCATTGCACTGCTAACAGACAATGACAAGTGGTGCCCTGTGTGTATTGCTTTCATCTCTAAAAACACTATTCCCACCCTCAGCAGCATTAAGTTTGCTCAAATAATACACATCCCGTAGAGCTAATCCCATTGCTATAAACACTTCCTCATCATTTTTTAAGGAGACATCATCCATGGTGTGCCACAGGGTTCAATTCTTGGTTCCATACATTTCTCACTGAAATGATACCTTGTCATATTTTGTGGTAAAACCCTAAGAACTGTAGGTTGCCCCCAATTCGTGTTACATAATAGTTTGACAGTTGAACAAAATATCTGATGGTTAATCATTTATGATGGTCTTGCTGACAAGAAATTAATGTTAGACACTGGTAATGTAGAGGATAAAATTAGATGGTTTAGCTAAATCCAACTGAGTGGTACAGCCAGCCCGTAATCAAACTGGGTAAATGCTCAACTTTGAGATGACTCAGTCTGTACAGAAATAACAGATTTGCTGGATGTGAGTCAAAGAGATGCCGCTGCAGACAATCAGAAACCTGGAAAATATCAGAATTATATATACGGGGCAATATAAAACCAGATTTCTAGACTAAAAGTACTCCAAAATCTGAAAGACTCATTTTGGTCCTCCAAACCCTCAGTGATCTGATATTCATCCACCTCAACATTAAGTGAGTGAAGTTTGTGTTTTGAATGTTGAGGAGGAAATAAACAAGGTTGTGATGTTGTCTTTGTTCAGTTAAGAACTATTTTTTTCTATAAATGGTTATTAGTGTCATTTTTTCATTTCTACAGTCAAATGATTCTCTTTTCTAACTTTTCTAACAGAATTCTACGTTTGTCTTTAAACCTGTTCTAATCAATAGCTTTATGTTAACAATTGGTCGGATTAATACACACTGTGAAAGAGGTCACTTATAGTGACAAACGCAAAGAGACCCCTCAGCAGAGAACATTTTAGTGTTTTTTAACTCACTGTTTTGCTTTGAAACCCACAACTTCCCAGTTCACTCTAATTGCTCTCATCAGCATTGTTTCCAGACACAGGAGGCAGCAGTTTAAATGATAAACCCACTGTATAATACCTGTCCAGTACCAAATGGCAGACAGCATAAAGTTAGTGACTAGTGGTGTTGGGCAGTAACTTATTATTAGTAGGGCTGGGCAAGTTAACGCCTTAACACATTCATTAATTAACGCCGACAATTATTTTATT